TTTCGTGGACTACAGCCCAATGCATCCGAAGAAGTGGGCTGTAGTCCACGAAAGCTTATGCTCTAATAAATCTGTTAGTCTCTAAGGTGCCACAAGTACTCCTGTTCTTCTTTTTGCGGATACAGACTAACACGGCTGCTACTCTGAAAGATTTTCTTTGCTTTCGATTAATAAAACGTTCAGTGCCTTGTGGTCCCCAGGCTTGTTTGTGAGCCCCGGGGGTCATGACCCATGGGCTGAAGGGGGTGAGGGGCTGTACAATCTTCAGCATCGGTTGGAGTGTCCCTGTCTGTCAGCATCTGGCATAACAGGAATGTCCGCCCCTCTCTGCCCTGGGCCTGCAGCCCCGACGCCTCCCGCTCCCGTGCCTGCCTCCACCGGCCGCGTTTGGGGACCCGAAGCCGTGGCCAGCGGTGCTGCTGGAGATTAAGGGGCGAGTTCACTGTGCAGTGTTTTTCAAGGGGAAAATCCCTAGTCCTGCTTGGTGCTGGTGCTGTTGTGTAGCAACCCTCAGGCCGTGACAGGCACGCTGCTGCGGGACAAGGGTCTGGCTCCGCCAGCTTCCCTGCCACAGGCGTCATTATGTCAGTGGTGACACAGAGAGGTTCTTTGTGTCGGCCGGGCCCTGGCCCCCAGCTGGTGCCTCGTGCCCCTGCCTGCCCTTGGCCTAGTTACTCTGCATCACAGACGGGATCAGGCTATGTGGGAGTGACATACCTTGTGCCTGGGGTGCAGCCGACCCCCCCCCCCGGCCAATGGGGGATGCAGCCCCTGCTGGCTCTGCCCGGGATGCAGTCCAGCCCCAAGAGCTGGTGTTAGTTCGTGGCACCGTTGGGTGCGTATCCCGGGCCAACAAAGGGGTGTTTGGACCCGCTCAGCAGCGTGTTGTGCTTCCGTGTGGGTAGCTGGCGGGTGAGCTCTGTGCTCCGGGACATCCCATGTAGGGTGCTCGTGCTCGTTACACTCTGCCTGTGGAGCTCCTGTCCTCGGAGCTAGCCAAGGGCAAAGTTTCTTGGGGCCAGCGCTGGGGCTGGGACCTGCCGGGGGTGTGGTGAGGTTTCCGCTGCTCCTCGGGAGGTGCCCCCCTCCCCCCGGGAAGCGGCAAGAGGAGGTGATGGACGTCACTGGATGGATGGGGGCTGGAACCCCGGTTTCACATCCCGCAATCCCTCGCCCATTCGGAGACCCCACCGCCTCGCCTGGGGACGGGCCCAGCGCTCGGTTCCCCTGGGGCCTGGCTGGACCAGGGCTGAGGTGGAATTCCTGGCTCCCGTTCGCCTAGGCCTAGGCCCTGTCAGGTGTGTGCACGCAACAGAGCGGTCATGGGACGCTCGCGCCTCCGCTCGGCCTGTCTCTTAGCACCCAGGAACCGCGGTGCCCAAGGAAAAGCCCGGCACCCTTTGTTCTCTCTGCGCCCGTAACTCCTGCACTCGGCCTCCCTGTGCCCCGCCAGAACGGCTGCAGCATTGTCCGAGGTAAGGTTGTGAGCAGCCCCGGGGCGAGGCAGAACCGCCCCGTGGCTATTGTGTCAGGAGCGCCGGGTGGCTCTGGTTCCAGCAGCCCAGGCCGGAGGAATGTGGCTCGGTGCCAGAAGCTGCTGATAAAATCTCTTCTTGCAAAGGAGGTCGAGTCCCCGCTCTCCTGCCGGCGATGTAATCTGCTCAGTGCTTGCCAGGCAGCGATAACGGGCTCGGCCTCATGCGGCCCGGACTCCGCACGCTCCGGCTGTGACGACAATGAGGAAAGAGCTCAGGGTGCGCGTTAACCTCCCCCAGCCCCTCCACCGCTTGGAACAATAGCCTCTGTGGGCGATTACGGAAAATCACATGCTTAGTCCAGCTGCAACCAAACCAATTTGTCAATGTCCCGTTTTCATTTCCCCCGATAAGACAGGGCCGGGGAGTACAATAATCCCTTCCTGAGAGACAGCTGCGGCTCCCCTCCCCAAAACACACACAGCAAGGAGGCTCATTTTGGCCTTTCTGGGCTTAGTGGGAGCAAGTTGCAGTTTTTCAATCCCGCTGGGGCTGCGATGCCAGGGGACGGGCAGGGAGCCTCTGTCCCAGCAGCTATCTGCAAATCAGAAAATTCTAGGAGTAATAGAGCATGGAAAGGTGGTTTCCATCCCCTGGGCTGGGCTGTGTGGGAATAGCCAGCAAAGATGAGGGATCGGTTTAGCCCAGTGGCGAGAGCGCTGGGCTAGGTGACAAACTCCTCTCTCTGCCACTCATTCACTGCGGGTTGGACAAGTCATTTGACCACCCCGTGCCTCAGTTTCCTCATCTGTAAAACAATGGTAGAGCTATTTACCCTCCTGTGTAAAATGCTTTGAGAGTCTCCCGTGTGACATGCCAAGCAAGATTATTAAAACACTGCACATTTTAAAGCCCCTATGCCCACATCAGAACGGTCCCCCAAACACGACACCGCCTGCTTCAGAAGCAACCTGCCGAGGGGACAAAACCCACATCGCAGAAGATGGATGCAAAGAGGAGTGAGGAGCCAGCCCCAAAGGCTGCTGGGAATGCACCCAGAATGCCTTGGGCCCAAAGCGCCGATTCCATTCTCCACACCCCTCGCTGGTTCCGTGAACGTTCGTTGCTCAGCCAGGAGTCGCTTGGTTCTGGTTCGTGGTGGTGCCGTTTTTCTCTCCTCACTTTTTTGGAACTAAAGAGCAGAGCAGCTCCTCTTGCTCCCTCCAGGAGCGTGCAGCTTGCCCTGACGCACACCTCCAGGAGGGCGGGCATGCGGCTCTTTGCCACGCCCGCACTCAGGGCGGGGCGCTCCGCTCACGGTTTAGTCTCCCCTGCCCCCCGAATTGTTCTGTTGCCTCAATGAGTTTTTGTTTGTTGTAGTTGTGGAAAATCCCCTGGTTGAGTTATTTGCAAAGCTGCAACTCAGGCTTCACCGGCGTGTGGGATCTGGGCAAGGCCCTGAATGACCAGGAGGCCTGAGCCCTCCCACCCTGCTCCCCCAGGGCAGGCCTGCTGCATCAGAAGGGGCCGGTTTCACAAAGCCCCGTTTCAGAGCAGAACACTGTTTCAAAGAGGGATTTAAAAGAGGGCAGAGAAAGGCGGTACAGATTCAAGACTCCAGACAAACCTCCAGGGCATGAAGCTCAGGGAACCAAACTTATTATGGACAATAAAGACTAACAGATTTATTTGGGCATAAGCTTTCGTGGGTAAAAAACCCACTTCTTCAGATGCATCTGAGGTTTTTTACC